GTGTTGCTTTGGATAGTAAGTTAGGCAGTATATAAATTTAATAAATAAAGGGAAATACAAAAATAACATGACACGCCACTAACGAAGCTCGCTCATAACTTGAATACTTGCATTTTGACCAATCTGGACTTTTTCAGCAAGAAGGAAATTCATGCTAGCAAAGTCAACGAATGAGTAAATGATTGGCAGGTTTTGCATTATAGAAATGTTTATAGTACGGCGTTGTCCGGATTAAGAAACAGTTAAGCAAATCTATGCAGATTCGAAGCAGCTACTGCCTCAATCCATCCATGGTTCTGGGAAGTCTTTGGCTGAAAAATTCAGTTGACGGGAGTTGATGATTAAACCGATTTGAATGGTTAAAAATTCATCCGGGCTATGCAACCAAAGACTTCAAGCTCCCAAGCTTGTTATTGGAAAAATCGTTATTGCATTTGTGTCGCCAATGTGAGGAAAGTGGAAAACAGTGACGTTTTAAACCAAGTCTAAAGGTAGTCCTTGACTTATGACAGGTTGATTAACCATTATTTGCCACGGGGAGTAAGCGTGCAAACTACACTAAGATTTTTCCTTTGTTTTCCAGGATTGATTTCTATATCTGCGCTATTCTAGCAATTAAACAAACAAACAAACACACACACACACACACACACAACACACACATTCCTGTTTTTTCACTCATTTAAAAATCTAGGGCTGCTTTCGTAAGGTAGACCCATTCCATGTAAAGAGCTGTATTTTTCCCTTCCTTCCTAGGCTAAGCATTGATTTTGAGCAAAACTTCTTGATGTTGGAACAAGCAGAACAATGTTAGTTACGGCTTTGTTTTCCTGGGCTATTTTCAGGCATATGCTTACTTTTTTTTTTTACTGCCAGCTGTTAAAATTAATGGGGCAAATAAACCGTTTCATTAAATCTATTTGGTTTTGAGTTGGTCCAGCCAGCTAATTGTGCTTGCCCCCCCAAAAAAAATCTAACCATAACTTCTGTTTAGTACATCTGTGCTTGGTAGGGTTAGGGAAGTGGTTTGCCACCTGTTGCATCTAAAAACTTGAAGAAGTAGTATCTCTCCAGCCAACGTCTTCTCGTGTCCACGGAATAAGCCTGGCTGACTTTGTTTAACTTCTGAAATCAGCCAGGATAGGTTAAATGCCACTACTTTAAATAGCATCGGGAGCATTAGGCTAGAAACTGGGAGACCGGGAGTTCTAGTCCCACCTTGGGACTAAAGCCAACTCGGTGAAATTTGGTTGATCAGTCTTTCCTCAACCACTTCTGAAATATCTGGCCAAGAAAATTGAAGGGCACTTTTCGAGAATCAGACACGATCAAGAGAGGGAAAAAAGTTGTGTAAGTGGCTGTGTAAGTGGGATGAGCCACGGTGGCGCAGTGGCTAGAGTGCAATACTGCAGGCTAATTCTGCTGACTGCTGGCTGCCTGCAATTTGGCAGTTCAAATCTCACCAGGCTCAAGGATGACTCAGCCTTCCATCCTTCCGAGGTGGGTCAAATGAGGACCCAGATTGTTGGGGGTGATAGGCTGACTCTGTAAACCCCTGAGAAAGGGCTGTAAAGCAAGGTAAAGCGGCATATAGGTCTAAGGGCTATTGCTATTGCTATGAATGTTGTCAAATGGTGGGCACACCAGGGCAGTCAAAGCTCCACCCCTTTTTAACAGGAATGGCACACCTTGTGTCAAATGTGACTCCCATAATTTCAACAATGATCACACCGGCTGGCAATTTGAGGCATTTGCACTTGACACACTTGAATCTTGCGAGTATAACAGACTGATGGCTTTGAGAACAAAGCTGTTGCAGAATATGGTAGTCCTGCCTGCTAGAAATACTTCGAAACCTCCTGCCAGAGGGGAGCAAAACAGAAACAGACTGTGGTGTGTGTGTGTGTGTGTGTGTGTGTGTGTGTGTGTGTGTGTAACAATGCTTTCAGCTCTAAGCACAAGGGCAATGCTTATCTTCTCCAGAGGAAAGGGAAAAATAAACGATGTTGTTAATACACAACTGCCAGCATTTCCTAGCTTCTCCGGCTGGCGGTGTGGCGTAATCAAGGTGCGGCACACAAATTAATTAAATCCTGACCTAATTTTCCCGATACTAGTCATCCAAAGGAAGGGTCTATGGAGGATTGGCTTTCCTTCTCATTCCAAAATCAAATTATTTTGCTAACCGGGATAAGAGTCCCCTATCCTAAGATACTAAAAAGCAGAGACATCACCCTGACAACAAAAGTGTTTCTAGTCAAGGCTCTGGTTTTCTGAGTTGCAATGGATGGCTGTGAAGGTTGGACCATAAGAAAGGCTGAGAGCCAAAGAATTGAGACCTTTGAAATATGGTGCTGGAGAAGACTCCTGAGAGTCCCTTGGACTTCAAGGTGATCCAACCGGTCAGTCCTAGAGGAGATGAACCCTGACTGCTCTTTAGAAGGCCAGATCCTGAAGAGGAAACTCAAATACTTTGGCCATCTAATGAGAAGGAAGGACTCCCTGGAGAAGAGCCTAATGCTGGGAAAGATGGAGGGCAAAAGAAGAAGAAGAAGGGGACGACAGAAAAGGAGGTGGCTAGATGGAGTCACTGAAGCAGTAAGAGTGAGCTTAAATGGACTCCAGAGGATGGAAGAGGACAGGAAGGCCTGGAGGAACGCTGTCCATGGCGTCGCAATGACTTTGCAACTAACAACAACAAAGGAACCAATGCAATGCTTCTACTCAAAACCATCTTTTCAGCACCTGATGCTTGGTCTTAGCATTGACCCGGGATGTCCAACCTTGGCAACTCTAAGACCTGTGGACTTCAACTCCCACAATTCCGGTAATTGGAAGTCCATAAGTCTTAAAGCTGCCAAAGTTGGACACCTCTGGCATTGACTATCAACAGACATTAGCGCCTTCAGATTTGAAGGCTTTCAAATACCCTTGGACGAACATTCATCAAACACTGGTTGCCTTCTTAGGATCTTACCTTTATTTCTGGGGTGAGAATCATGTCAAACTGGTTGTAGAACTCCTTTGCATTCAGCATCTGGTGGTCCTTGAGAGTTTCCAGGAACTTCTCTATCTCACAAAGTGCAG